GGGGATATCTGTGTGTGCAGGTGACTATTACTGTGCATAATTATTAGGCAACTTAACAAAAAAACAAATATATACCCATTTCAATTATTTTTACCAGTGAAACCATTATAACATCTCCACATTCACAAATATACATTTCTGACATTCAAAAATAATACAAAAACAAATCAGCGACCAACATAGCCACCTTTCTTTGCAAGGACACCCAAAAGCCTGCCATCCATGGATTCTGTCAGTGTTTTGATCTGTTCACCATCAACATTGCGTGCAGCAGCAACCACATCCTCCCAGACACTGTTCAGAGAGGTGTACTGTTTTCCCTCCTTGTAAATCTCACATTTGATGATGGACCACATGTTCTCAATGGGGTTCAGATCAGGTGAACAAGGAGGCCATGTCATTAGTTTTTCTTCTTTTATACCCTTTCTTGCCAGCCACGCTGTGGAGTACTTGGACGCGTGTGATGGAGCATTGTCCTGCATGGAAATCATGTTTTTCTTGAAGGATGCAGACTTCTTCCTGTACCACTGCTTGAAGAAGGTGTCTTCCAGAAACTGGCAGCAGGACTGGGAGTTGAGCTTGACTCCATCCTCAACCCCAAAAGGCCCCACAAGCTCATCTTTGATGATACCAGCCCAAACCAGTACTCCACCTCCACCTTACTGGCTTCTGAGTCGGACTGGAGCTCTCTGCCCTTTACCAATCCAGCCACGGGCCCATCCATCTGGCCCATCAAGACTCACTCTCATTTCATCAGTCCATAAAACCTTAGAAAAATCAGTCTTGAGATGTTTCTTGGCCCAGTCTTGATGTTTCAGCTTGTGTGTCTTGTTCAGTGGTGGTCGTCTTTCAGCCTTTCTTACCTTGGCCATGTCTCTGAGTATTGCACACCTTGTGCTTTTGGGCACTCCAGTGATGTTGCAGCTCTGAAAAATGGCCAAACTGGTGGCAAGTGGCATCTTGGCAGCTGCACGCTTGACTTTTCTCAGTTCATGGGCAGTTATTTTGCTCCTTGGTTTGTCCACACGCTTCTTGCGACCCTGTTGACTATTTTGAATGAAACGCTTGATTGTTCGATGATCACGCTTCAGAAGCTTTGCTGTTTTAAGACCGCTGTATCCCTCTGCAAGATATCTCACTATTTTGACTTTTCTGAGCCTGTCAAGTCCTTCTTTTGACCCATTTAGCCAAAGGAAAGGAAGTTGCCTAATAATTATGCACACCTGATATAGGGTGTTGATGTCATTAGACCACACCCCTTCTCATTACAGAGATGCACATCACCTAATATGCTTAACTGGTAGTAGGCTTTCAAGCCTATACAGCTTGGAGTAAGACAACATGCATGAAGAGGATGATGTGGACAAAATACTCATTTGTCTAATAATTCTGCACTCCCTGTACATGCATACATACACACAAACACACACACACACACACACACATAACAGGATCGATCGATCGTGTTGGTTTGTGGAAATGACTTAAGGTGGCCTAAAGTACAGTATTGTTAACTCACGTGGTTTACACATGTCTGCCCATGAACAGTTGTAACACTGAGTTGACCTTTACTAAACTCCTACTCGCTCTAAATAAAAACAAAACTCTGTTACTGAGTAAGATGACCAAATCTCAGGCTGGTAGAACCATTACACACTACTATGCTCTTCATGTACGTTGGAATTTCTCACAATACATTCAATAAGGCATTGAGAAAACATCCTGTTGGTTATTTCCTGCTCCTTCTCTCTTAACTTCCTGTTTATGCAACCTTCACGACTCCCAAAACGGAACACATTTCACTCTCAACGTGCAACAAAACCTGGTTGGGCTGGTTGGAGTGGTTATTCTCGCCATAGCTTCTGTCGGCTTACTGAAGTTTTTGTTTGTTTGGGAGTTAGCTCACACTGTAGTATTGTCTGTCTGCCATTAAACAAAATTCCCTCTTAGAGCCTGCCCTTTACATTTGATGTGTCACCTTCTCCTTGGCTCAGGTGGTCAGTCTATTCACAGGGTGACCGTCCATAGCTAGCTTGTGTTTCCCATCTATTCTCCCTTTCTCTTATCTTCTTAATCAAGTTTCAAGTATAAGAAGAGTACGGTTACAACCCTATCTTCAAAGTGAGTAATATCACTTTACTGAGACACATAAAAGCAGGGTTCCTCGGACATTCAACAGGGAGGGACACAGTGGAAACAGTAGCAAAATGTCAAGTTTATCGAGCTTTTTGTTATTTTAGCCTTTAAAGTTATTCTGTCTTTTTATTCTTACAGGATCAGTGTCATCTTTTTTGGATTAAGAATTTCTAATTATTCGTTTTTGGGGCTAGCTGGTGAAGCTAGTTGGTTTAAATTCATAATAATACCCTCTTGATGCCCAGTAATAATAAGGGGAATGTCACTGTGTTCTGTACCAGATCCATATGGTGTAGACGATCATGTTGGTGTTCTGCCCCTGATGATGAGTCCTGTATTAGAGACTGACTCAAACATTGTTAAGCCACATATCCTTTATACGACTGCATCCTGCTTCCCTGTCTTGTAAACATAGCGTGGAAACGCTAGCTTTGCAGTTTTCTGTTCTGCTGCACAAAAAAACATGTTGAACTGCTTCTGTGGTTCCCGCTGTTTTTACAGAAGGAATGTCTCTAATGGTGAACGCTTGGGAGAACGTGAGAGTGTATCAAAGAGTGCTGAAGGGCGCATTAACTATAAGTGTTCACAGATGTTGGTGAAAGTTTATCTTCTCTGTACATGTGACTGGAAAAATAGTTTCCTGGAAATCCTTTATGCACCGGAAGCGGGAGCCTCAGTGCTCGCTTCTTGCCTTGTTTACTTGTCTGTTTGTGGCCTCGAGCTTAGCATGCAGTCTTGGAGTGAGAGAAATCCCACAGAAATCAGGCTCAGACACATCCGCCGCTGCTCTGAGCTCGAAGGTTCAAACAAGCACTTTAAAAGGGTTTCTTTGTGTTTGGGGGGGTCGTATTGCTGTGAGAGTTTGCTGTTAGCAGTGGGGCTCATCTGGTTAAATAAAGGGTAAATAAAAATAAATAAACTTCATTCTCAGTCATGAAGTGTTGTACTCATGTGCAGCTTTACCCTTTCTATGGGTCATCAGATGGTATGTTACCACTGAAAATAATTGCTGGGTGTGTCTGTGGAGCAGCTGCTTTTGTCCAGTGGCACTGCGTCTCCAGTAATCCTGGCAGGCAGTGGTGACCTTGGCAAGGCCATGTTGAACTGAAATATATACCAGCTATTTCGTAATAACAGCAGTTCTGCCAAGTCACCCCCCCCCCCCTCCCCCCTTTACAATTTTGGCTGATTGGCTTGGAAACGAGCAGACATAAACACTGCCTGCTGGCCCTCCCTTTCTTCAGGGGCTGCTGGGTAATGACACAAAGGGGACCCACCGCTACCTACAAACCACTCGCACACTATGCTGCTGTTTGTTTGTTTTGTCTCTAGTCTAGCTGAAAGGCATTTAAATTGAAACACAGTTGCAGTGGAAATGTCTTTTAAAAATTGTAGAAACAGTTTTAGTCGTACTCTTTTAGAATGCAAAACCAGTGTGAGCTTTAAACATTAGCCTGCTTATTCTGTTTGGTCTCATGTTGTATTTTAGCACAACCCAATTACAAATAAAGCTGCTCCCATGTTTGTATTTTTGTATCTGCAATCCCATTAGAGTGTGGAACAAGGGACTGAAATGTGGCCTGCTAAAAGCTACTTGTTAGCCAGTATCTACTGAGTTTGTGTGACAGTGTCTGAATTGGTGTTTATAATGACCGTGTTTTCATTTCACTTTTTATTCATGTTTAAATTTATGTCTGATAGAGAAATGTAGTTTACTTGTTCTCCTTTAACATTTAGTCTGTAACTCAAACAAAGCTGCTGGGTTTGTGATATTGGAGGGGTGAGCGATGCTGCAGCTCTCCAGCTTGGCTCTCAAATGCAGAACAAAGGTGGGGGTGAATAAGAGGATGGGTAAAAGCACTCTGTAGGTTTACATGACGTAGGGAGATATCAAGTGATTGCATTAGTGTGACATTACCTGGACTTTTAAAATGCACGTAAACATTTTAGTCTGAGATTGTGCTGAATTGAATTAGTCAAAGTCAGACTAACACACCCAAATAATGCAGTTAGAAGTGGAATTATTCCTGCATGTGTGTATGTTCATTCATAGTCAGACTGACCCAGATGCTCTGAGCATGCTCCACTGATCCTGCCATAAGCTTTGACCCAATATCACAAACAACATGGAAAATCCCAAAAGCACTCTTTACTTACTCTTAGTGAAGAGTTGTAAAGTGGTTTCCAATTCAGCCCTCAATGGTTTCTGTCATTCTGGCTTTTAGAAAAAGCATTTTATTATATACGATTAGGCGGAAAAGAGAAAAGGGTAGTTGGACATATTATAGTAAGGGAAGGAATTCTTCTTGTGCACTTGTACTTTTAGCTACAGCGTAGTTTTATAAAGCTAAATGAGCCCAGATCTGTCTTAACCATATATTCTTACCACAGATTGATGTTAGAGTTTTATCAAAATAAATCTTAACAAGAATGATTGGGTGATTGTCTACATTTTAAGTCTGTTAAACAGCTGTTTTGGGCTATTATTTAGGTAGTTTTGTTGCACATCCTTAAAAACACATGCTAGACTGAGATCAGTCTGGATGCAGTAGCAAATACTCAGCCACGGTGCAGTAAAAAATCATCTGTAGTTAGTGCACATAATCATAGGTAAGAAAACCACAAATGGAATGCTAATTTATTCCTCCTCTTAATGCGTGTCCATGTATTAATGCATGCAGTTTAGACATATATTGTGTTTGAAGGGTTTTGTTGGGGTTATTTTAGCAGCACTTGTATTTTTCACTATTTCCTTAAAGTTTAGGGAATTGATTATTTTTGTGACTGTGAATACACACATCTACTGTACATGTGCGTCACACTAAAATGTATTTGTTGCATTTCTGTTCTTGCTTGTGTGACAGAGAAACCAGGTCCAGAGAGGAAGCGCATTAAAAAGGAGCCCACTAACACCCGGAAGGCGTTTGGAATCGGGATGCCGGGGATCCGGACTGGGTACCCCGTCTCTGAGCGGCAGCAGGTGGCCTTGCTCATGCAAATGACAGCTGCGAAGTCTGTCAACAGTCCAGGTGCGTGCTTATCATTTAGGCCACGTCTTCCATGGACCGGTGGCGGAAAAGAAAAAGAAGAGGATGGGATAGAGCTTTATATGTAGACCGTGTTTGTGGGAGAGCAGTTTGCGTAGGTGGATGACAAGTGAACCAGATGGGGGATGAGTCACGAGTCTTTATGTTTTTGTTTATTTTGTGGATCTTGATTATTTAGCCTGCTGATTTTTGCCTATTTTCTAGTCAGTTCTTGGCATCGAGTGTCTTGCAACACATTATTTCTTGTCAAAAGAAAAAATTAAACATTCTGTCCGTTAATCTCAAATCCAGCATGTACGGAAATTAAATCAACTGCGCTGTTAGCATTACCGAGAGTGCAATCTAGCCTAAATAACTGCAGACCGCCAAACACAAAAAATGTGCAAACATTTAATTGTTTACTTCTCCTTTCAGCTGAGAAATAAATAAAAAAAATACAATTATTTAGATTCACTGTATTCTCTGTAATTTGTAATTGTATTAATTGCTTATATTCACATTATTATTCAGGTTTATTTTATTTATTTGTGTTGAGATTTAGGTTGAAGTAAATTAGTGAGGCTCTGCCTTTTATTTATATGTTAATTCCTTTCTTGCATGCCTGCAGTCATGGACTTAGATTAAGTGAATGTGTTTCAAATATCATTTTAGACAACAGCTGTACAAACTCAATAATGTAAATGTGATAAAGACTTGAGTTTTAAATGTGATGAAAAAGGCTGAAGTAAAAAATAGGCCCAGTCACTCAGATACTGACTGGTGGAGTGTGAGTGCCCCCTTCTGGCTTTGTGCAGGTCAAACACAGCAGAAGTCGAAAATACTGGAATAATTACAGCATATTAATGAAATTCTAGAGACAGTTCTGGAGTTCAAGTGAAACATCCATCTTCTGCCTGCAGACTCAACACCAAAGCATCAGTCGCAGTCCTGTCTGGGTCAGAAGGGAACGCCAAACTCTGCATCTAAAACCAAAGACAAAGTAAATAAAAGGAATGAAAGAGGAGAGACTCGACTGCACAGAGCAGCAATTCGAGGAGAGGTGCGCCGCATCAAGGAGCTCATCAACGAGGGAGCTGATGTGAATGTAAAAGACTTTGCAGGTAAGAAGCTTGTTTTTGCTGCCCTGTGCTTCAACAGCTTGGTAATATGTAAATATTCATGATTTACCAGCGTACACTTCAGAGACATGAGCCATTTGTGTGTGTGTGTGTGTGTGTGTGTAGGCTGGACTGCATTGCACGAGGCATGTAACAGAGGGTATTATGATGTGGCCAAGCAGCTGCTGGCAGCCGGAGCTGAAGTCAACACCAAGGGACTGGATGATGACACTCCTCTGCATGATGCATCCAACAATGGACATTTTAAGGTAAATAATAAACAGAAAGCCATTTTGTGTTCAGATCCAATCAGAACATTCAAAAGTCAAAGAAATGAAGTCAGTTGTGTGTCAGCGGTGAGTAAAAGGTGACTGCAAAATAGGGCTGAACAATCTCGTTTTTGGACCGAAATTGCGATTTCAAACAGCACGATCGCGTGACCGTCAAAGCTGCGGTTTTAGCGGATTTGACTGATCCAGGATCAGTTGTGTAACTTTTTTTTTTTTCACATCCGGGGCTTTCCCCCTGTGTTACGGCGGCAGCAAAAGCCAGCGAGGGGGAGGGGGGTGGGGTGTCCCATCCAGATTCGAGCCCAACTCCACAGCTGACAGAGCTGCTTGTTCTGGTTATTTTACCTGTTCTATGTTCTCACACACAGCGCTGCTAGAGCTGATAATAATGGCACCGTAGGTGAGCCTGGGACAGAGAGAGAGAACGTAATTGAGTAAGGGAGAGAGAGACTCCTCCCACATCGGAGCCGGTTCAGGCTGACTTCTAAAGCTTGGTTTATGCTTCATCAGCGCGAGTGCGAAGTTGCGCAATTTAGAAGGCTCAAACTTGAAAGCTCAACTTCTTTTTAAAAATTGGTTTGAATGTTTCTGACGGCACACATTAGTTCAAACAAGCTAAGGTGTCAGAATGCATGCGTCTCTGTCACAGAACTGACGTTTTAGTGGGGGGAAACCAGACGGCTTCGAAAAACGTGCAGCCAGCCTGCCGCGGTAATTAGGGTTGGGCATCGTTTGATTTTGAACGATTCCGATTCCAATTCCTCGTTTCGATTCCGGTTCCCATCGATTCCCGATTCTTTCAAGACATGACATGCTTTACATGAGCCAGCTAACCACAGGTCCTGCTTGATGAAATAATCTTAACTTCAACATGAATTTTTATTCTAGGAACAACAACATCACCTTCATTTAGACAAAAACATGTTTTGGAGAAAAAAAGAAAAAGACTTGCAGCACAACCAGTGTGTTTGTTTCTGACCACAACCAAAGTCTGGAAGAAGCCTCTGGGATGAGAGGCTAAATGTCTCCAACATGTCCAGAAATGTCCAGCTGTTTTCAGCTAAAACTCTCAGGATGATCATGTCCAGGATGACTGAGAACTACACCTCCACGCTGCAGCAGCGTTCAGTCAGAACAGGAAGTGAAACTTAAACGTAGCTGCTGTCAGTAACGATCTAACAGATTTTAAACATTACAGCTCTCAACAAATAATTAGTTCAGAAAGGAAATTAAAATGTTCACAACTTTGTTTATTATTATTATTATTATTATTATTATTATTATTATTATTATTATTATTATTGTGGCAGAAGCGGGTGTGGTCCACCACAGAGAAGCTGCTCTAGCATGATGACATTAATTATTGAGGGCTGCTCAGATAATCGAATTTTAATCCCAATTACGATCTGAGTTTTGAACGATTATAAAAAAAAAACAAGCCGATTATTTGCTCCTCCCACTTGCGCTGCCCTGAGTTGCAAATGAAGCGCTCCTCCCACAGTGTTGCCAACTTAGCGACTTTGACGCTATTTCCAACAGCTTTTCAGATCCCCTTCTTGACTTTTTAAATCTTGAAAGTACCTAGCGAACACCTCAGAAACATCTCTGGTAACCCTTAGCTACTTTCTGGATAACTGTCGTCGACATTTCCTGCAGGTTAGCTAAACACTCCGCCTGCGCTCCGGACCGTTCTTCACAACATTAGGAAAGGGAATGATGTAGTGATGTGTCAGTCGCTAAAGAAACGGCTATCGGAGCCGGCTCCCTGTTGGATTAACCAGAGTGTGTGACACACACAGTACCTGCGGGCTCCTGAGCCATTAAAAACGGCTAAATGTGCGCGTGCGGCGCGCTAAACACACGTGCAGCTTGCCCCGATTGCTGTGAGACCGGGTTGGGGGGTGGGGGGGTGCAGCTGTGGTTGGGACAATTATAGGGCTGGGGGTAAACGATTATTTTTAAAACGATTATTCTGACGATTATTTTATCGAATAGTCGACTATTCTAATGACTATTTAGAAAATTAATCTAATGATTATTTTTCTATTGCACAATTAACAAAAACCAGAAAATCACAAATAAATTCCTCAAAAAAATTGATAAATTCTTACTGTAAGAGAATAAACACTACAGGCCTTCCATTTTGTATAACACTGCGTTTATTGTGTTGGTTGGTTATGTTCTGGTGACGTGTAGAACTTGGGAGAGCAGGCTGCTGCCTGAGAGGTGGTAGAAGATGGAGTGTCTCCATGCTGCTTTGTTTTGGTCACTTATGTGCGTGAGGCGAGTGGTGTTACGGGTTAAACCAAACTCAGGTGATATTTTACACTAAACCGAAAACCCACAACACTCTAAATGTAATAAAAGGGAGATCTACACCACAAAAAAGATGAACTCTAAACCAAAACGTAACAGCTTATCCCAACGCAAGAAGCTGTTAGCGAAGATGCTAACAGTAGCTTTACCAACATTAAGTTCAAGTTACCAAGTTTAAATAAACCAAAAACACCCAGCAGCAAACAGACCAGCATGGAGGAGAGACTGCTACCACCAAAACAGCTCTCCTCATGTCTGAAAGAAGCTCCTTAATGAAGGGAGAAGCACTCCCGGTGATTTTCTACATCTGCGATAGACACGAAGCAGCGCATCTGACCCCGGAAGTTGTTGTCCGTTGCCGGGAGACGAAGGGGCAAAACAGGAAAATAATCTAGTAGTGGACGGACGTTGTTCCGGGTCTTCGGTATTTGGCGGAGATGTTAGTGAAGGGGGAGAAGAGGGCGAACTAGAGGAAAAACAGGCAGATTCCTCCTCTATTTACAAACTCCTGGGGATGCAACAAGTGGGCGCGGTGCGTCGACTACCGGATCTGACGTCGACAAATTTTTAGAATCGAGCCGTCGACTTCGTCGAGGCTTCGCTACAGCCCTAGACAATTATTACATTAATTGATGGACTTGTAAATAAATAGTTTATAAATAAGGTAGAAATAAGTTCCTCACGCTGATAACTAATAACTAACCTCTCTGAGGACACGGTGCTAGTGCACGCTCCTACAGCACCTTGACACAACTAAATAAATGTTACGCAACATTTTGTGAACATCAATTTATTTGCATTTGTTATAAATGCCACTGTGTAATTCTTGCTGTCAGTATTTGCAAGTTATTGGTATTTGGTTCTGTACTGGTTAGACTTAAATGAGTTAAACCAAGGTCTATAGCCCTTGGGTCATAGACTATGAGCTATAAGTATATTGGATAAATATATTGGTCTTTTTATACTGGGAATCAGGAGTTATTTTAGTGATCATCTTGTTTCTTATTTCTTTTTGCCCTGATTGTGCCCAGAGCATTTTATGGCTGAATAAAAACAAATAAAATCAACATAAATTGAAAAATCGTCCTACATAGTCAAGATCTCAATTTCCGTCACAATAATCATGACTATTATTTTTGCCATAATTGAGCAGCCCTATTCTACAGGTTATTGTTCAGCCTTCCGACGCTCACGCCGCTGCGTCTGACCGCTGACGCTCCGTGTGTGTGTTTTTATTTCTGCGGTGAGACAAACTCACCTCACACCGTCCAGAGTTCGTTCTTTAAATCTTCTATTAAATCCACCGTGTTGATGTATTTAACAAGTTTCCTCTACGGCGCATTATTCGCTGCAGGAGTTAAAGTTTACGTTACGGAGTAAAAGTCCGGCAGATGCATTTGTTTATATTTGGCCGCTGTGCGCGGGCGGGGGGGTGGGGGACTCGTGCTGCACTCAGACAGCTGGTGTGATCAGCTCTGAAAAGCGTTAATCAGAATTTGCAGATCACGTTTATTTTTCACGGAGATCATTTTTCATGGAGATCGGCCACGGATTCCTCTTGCGTCGGCATTCTAGGAATCAAAACTAGGAATCGAAAAAAAAAACTTTGAATGATTCCGGGAAAAACTAACATTTGGAACTGGTTCCAATCGATGCTCGATGCCCAAAACTGTGCATTTTTTGTTATTTAATACATTTAAAAGCTATTTCTACCTACAGATTTCCTCCATGCATTTTTGGAGTAGAACATGTTTTTATAAAGCTCCTCTCTAGATAAAAACCACAAGCACAAGTTGCTTCACAAACACATAAATAAAGAACATAATGGGAGAAAATATAAATAGCTTTAACTGTTTTTATTGTATGATTAAATAGTAAATATTAATTTGAATGATTTGTTGTACTAGATTAGAATCTAGACCATCTTTTCCCTTAATCTACAGAATGGCTTGGCAGGCTAATGTTAGACCTTTGTTTGCAGAAAATTGTGAATTGAACTAGGGCTGAAACGATTCCTCGAGTACCTCGAATAATTCGAGTACAAAAAATCCTCGAGTCAAATTCTCTGCCTCGAGGATTCGTTTAATTCATATTTAATTAATTCATGGCTTTGCAGTCGCCCGTGGTCATGTTTCACCCGGACTGAAATAAGTGACGCACATGCCCACTGGACTGAATCGCACACGCGAGTAGGGAATGTAACTTAACTTTATCTTAAGCCATGGCGGACAACGTGGATCCCGGTGGAGTGCGAAAAAGACAGAAAATGTCAAGATGTGGGACCATTTTTCACGTCGTAAGGTGGAAAACGTAGTCCAGTGAAAATACTGTAAAATGGATTTAGCCTACCACAACACCTCATCCTCCGTGCTGCAGCACCTGTAAATGTCACTTCTGCAAGCGGACTCGGAGCCTCTACAAGATAATGCATTTTAGCCTGTATTTCCATATATTCTGCGGACACTGCGACTTTTTCGTTTGTAGCACTCAGTTTCAGCTCACACCGTACGTCTGGTAGCAACACGTCGGACTTAAAATGTGCTAAAAAATAGCAGTTTTACACAAAACGTCGGACTTTTTATTGTGTTGTTATTGATATTTGTTGTCCCTCGGGATTGCTGCAGGATTACAGGTATTTATGAGAGGAAAACGAAAGAAAGTAAATAAATGTTTTGTGATCAGTATAATTTGACAAAACCACGGCAAACATGCTTTCTCGACAATCCTTGTTATTGTGTGAGAAAAAAAGTTTTGAAATTAAAACGGACGTGTGTTAATAGGGAAACAGCCGGCGAGCTGTTTGCGCATGCGCCTTGAGCGGTTCTGGTTCTGTTTGGGCCGCAGCCGCCAGCAGCGCTACTTCAACAGTTATCCTCTGGCTTGCAGGCTAGCAGATTCTCGCACGAGGGGAAAATCGGCTCAGGTTGTGTACTTATTTTTTGCACAGGCATTTGTTTACTGTGAAGTAAAGTTGAAGTGCTGAAGTTTTGCAAACTAATTTTGAATAAAACTTGAAGAATAACTGGCAACTGCTTGCTCATTTTAAGAGGTCTTTCATAATTATAACATGCTATTTGATATAATGGTTTACAAACACAAAGGGGTAATTTATTAGAGTACTCGATTAATCGAAAAAAATATTCGATAGAGTACTCGATTACAAAAATATTCGATAGCTGCAGCCCTAAATTGAACCAAAATCGCAGTTTCTGCTAGAAAAATGGCAATTCAGTCTTTTCCTAAAATCGTTCAGCCCTACTGCAAAAACAGATTTCTGCTGCAGCCTAAAATTCTGCTCTTGTTGTTCTGCTAGGCTTGTTCATGACCAGTGTTGGGCAGCTTACTTTTAAAAAGTAATCATTGAGGTAGTAACTCGGTTATCACTTTGCTCAGTTTCAGTTCAGTTTATTTTTATTTCAGATGTGTACATTCACAGTCCTTACAACTTATTCTTCCAATACTTTGTTTGAAAAGGAGTAGGCAGGAGTAAACGCTTATTTAGCCCTGCCCCCTCAGTTTAACTCTCATTCTCATTGTAAAAGTAATTAGTTACCTAGCAAAGTAACTGTTACAATACTGTGAATTCAGTTACATTTTATATCTATACTGTCAAATCTTTTTTCAACTGAATGATTCTTACTATCTAGAATGAACATTTCAGATATGAAGTATTCGTTCAGTAAGAATGTTCCTATGGAAATCTGGAATGTTAAGTTCTACCAGGAACCGGTGGCGCTTGTGATCGGCAGCCCCGCCTCTGTCAGTGCGCCCCAGGGCAGCTGTAGCTACATCGTAGCTCATTACCATTAGCATGTGGATGTGTGTGTGAATTAGGGCTGGGCGATATGGCAAAAATAGAATATCACGATTTTTCCAATATTTTATCACGATTTCGATTTTATCACGATTTTTTATCCATGAATAGCCTAACTTCAATTGCGTATTAAAGGAGAGAAACATTGAATAAATAAACATTTATTCATATTAGGGATAATCAGCACAGTGCTAACACACTTATATTTTAAACTCACACCAGCGATGATAAAAGCCCTGAGAGAAACAATTACAAAAATCAGTTTTTCTCGTTTTTCAAGTAACTTAACATAAATTAAAATCGTAAACATATTTAAAGTGCAAACATGTCAATTGCAAAAGTATTGTGCAAACATTAACTTGTTCAAAATACTATGTAGCTCCCAATTGCTCATGTAGTGGATAGTTAAGCTCAAATACGGCTCTGATGTGCGGCTGGACCAGAGATCGCTTGTGGTAGCAAAAAACTGCGCATTCTGAATATTTTCTGCGACAAGTCTCTAAATAAAGTAAAAATTTCCAGTGCAGATTGGAGACAACCCATAGAAGCACTGATTTGATCTCATTTCAGAGAAAAATAGAACAGGTCAGATGCACCTAATAAATAAAATTACTAACAAACTCAGGAATCTTTCTTTGCTTCACTGTTCTGGTGCTGAAAATATCACTAATGCGGATCAAAGGAGATACACAGATAAATGCACCTCTTATTATTTGGAGACTACATTTACTGCAGCTGGCAGAGGCAGAGATTGTTTCTATTGATACACCGAGTTTACAGAATCATTTTAAATTTTAATAGGGGAAGACTGCAGGAGGGAGTGGTAAAATACAGGGGGTCCCAGCAAAAACAAGAAACTACGAGTCTGATGAAACCCGGCCCGCTGGTTTTCCATCAGGCAGTCACGGGGCAGCTCCAACGACCCAGTGACCAAGCTCAGTCCGGTACCGACACCGGCTCGGCAGAGGTTGGACGAGCCGAGGTGGCGTCGTGCTCTGCTTAAGAAGCGGTGTTATTTTCCTGCTTCAGAAGAATTGTCCAACGTGTTTTTACACTTTCTCCGAGACATGTCACGTCGCTAAGTTGTTAGCGCCGCGCGCTAAGGAAACCCTGCGTTCCTCTTCGGAACGAAAACCTCGTTGTTGCTCTCAGCCGCGGCCGATGCCATGTTTGTTCACACACAGGTGAAAACAAGCGGGGCACTAATATATTACTATGACTCACTCTGATTGGTTAAGGGTCAAACAAAGGCGTGTCATTCGCCTGGGGTAAGTTCCCTTTTCATTCAGAGGCAGAAATTCAACAGCAGAGCTGTGAATCGTGATAAAACGGTCTCTCAAAAATGACAGACCGTCAGATGTGTAGATCGTAAAACGGTCTAAAATCGTCATATCGCCCTCGTGTGAATGGGTGAATGACTGATTGTGTTGTGAAGCGCCTTGGGGGGTTGTAGAACCCTAAGAAGGAGCTACACAAATACAGACCATTTACTATTTATAATTTTTATTGTAACAACTGCTGTTGATGTCTTCATTTACATTTTGACTAATAAGAATACAATTGTTCAGACTGGCTTTAGTGTGACCATCTCATTCTGCCTTCCCCAGGATTCACTGATTGCCCTCTTTCCTATTCTCTCTCTCTCTCTCTTTGCATTTTTTAATGACAATTGTCTATTTTTGCTTCATTTAAACATGTTTTTGATCATTTTTTGAAATCTTTTTTATATTTTTAATTTTTTGTTTTTGTGAAGCGCCTTGTGATTTTTATCTTGAGGCGCTATAGAAAAGATCGTTTTCTTTCTTTCTTTACAATTAGTACTAGGATAAATAAAATTATTGCTAATTAAAAAGGAATTACAGAGAAGTCTGATTGTTGATTAAATGTTAAAACTGCTTGCCATAAACGATCGCTCCTCGTGTTCTGTTTTTGCTCATCTCCTCACCTTTCTGCAACTTTATTTTTATTTTCCACTCTTACAGATTTGTCTACAACAATATTTACACATTATTGTAACAAATGTCCCAGGCTTTTTGCGTGTTCCCCCTCTCTCCCTGCTTTCATAGCGATCGGGGGCACAGTGTGTGTGTGTGTGTGTGCGTGCGCGCGTGTGTATTTTCATTGATGTTTTTTCTTACCAGCTCAGGATAGGATGGGGGGTGGGGGGGGGGGTCTGTGTCCCTCACTCTTTTCGTGCACGACAGACACATCACTGGTGTGGCTGTCAGCAGTGTTGGGAGTAACGCGGTACAAAAGTAATTAATTACTGTAATGCATTGCTTTTTGCTGTAATGTGGTAATGTAAGGCATTACAGGGAAAGAAAATAGTAATATTTACTTGGTACAATTGTCAGTAACGCGGTAATTGCAATGCATTTTAAAACCCAGAATCAAGATGTGGGTTTCCTAAAAATTCAAACTGTCGGAAGCCTGAAAAAAGATCCAGTATCCACATATATGACGTCATTTATGGACTCAGCTTTGCGGGCATTCTATGAGCAGAGAGAATGCAGCGGTAATGGCTCAAATACTCCAGCTGCGTCCTGCGCGCGGCCGCTGTTATACTCACAAAATCGCTCCACCAAAACAAAGTAATTCGTTTGCGATCGTTTATATCAGCCCATATTCTCTGGTACTTCATGTACTTTCCAGCTGAGTTCATAATCTGTGCCCCGGTGATTTCAACTCATTGCTGCTGGAGCGCCGCGCATATTAAGCTTTTTTTTTTCTTTTCTTTTTTTTTTTTTTTTTGCGTTCGGTAGATTCCTTTGGCTGATTAGTTAGAAAGTAGGAAATCAAGGAAACTGTTTTTCTGGAAGACGGAGAAAACATGCAGCATGCAGGAAGGTTAGAAAGGGCAGGAAATCATTCAAATAAAATCAAGAAAACAAAACAAAGTGCTTGAAAAGAAACAAAGTTGTTAGATTTATCCCCAATACACATTTTTACCAGTGAAAAGCAATAATATATAAGCATTTAATATTTATACATGTGATAGAATCAGATCACCCCAGAAGTCAGTCCCACATCCAGGGCCGTATCAAGGCATTTGGGGACCAAGGCAAATATAGGCTTGGAGCCCCCACCACCCCACTCCCTGCTCAGTTAATATAAGATGGCAGCGTGCTGAGAATACAGATTGTTGTTGCTTTTATTTAATAAACAATCATTTTAAAGCACTGTTATTATATCTGTTTTTAACAGCAATCCTAGCTCAGACACCACATCACTTTCCACATATATGTCATGAGCTCACTGAGCGTCACATTACCAGATTCATTTTGAAGGTGTTTTGCTGAAAGTAACTTAAAGTAATGCAAAAGTAGTGTAATGCCTTACATTTTAAAATCAGTAATATTGTAATGTAATGAATTACTTTTAAATGAGGGTAACAAGTAATAAACAATGCATTACAGTTTTGAAGTAACTTGCCCAACACTGGCTGTCAGAAAGCCTGATAGCGCTGCTGTGCTTCATTCAACCCCAATATAGTAACGTGCCACTTTACATGCCTAATAATGGTAACGGCGTTTCTCCTTTACCTAAGAAAAGAACACCGTTAATAACACTGTTATGCTTAAACGGCATGACTCCCAACACTGTTCAAGGCTCATGCATATGAGCAAAAACTTTCCTTTATCTTTAAGATGTTTTTAAATACTTGGTTTGTATTATGTTTCAGGTGGTGAAGCTTCTTTTACGATATGGAGGAGACCCACGTCAAAGCAACAGGAGGGGCGAGACGCCACTGAAGGTTGCCAGCTCTCCAACAATGCTGAATCTGTTGCTGGGGAAAGGCACTTACACCTCGAGTGAAGAGAGCTCATCAGGTCTGTTAGACTAGATGTTTTCACATCTCCTTATTAATTCTCCTTTGTTTTTGGCTTTTATATTGTGTATTGATTTTGCTTGTTTGTTTCACAGAAACGTCTGAGGAGGACGCACCCTCGTTTGCCCCCTCGAGCTCTGTAGATGGCAATAACACGGACTCGGAGTTTGAGAAGGGCTTGAAGTTAAAAGGGAAAATCGCAGACGCTCCCAAATCTGCCATCACACCCGTTAAAGACGAATATGAATTTGATGAGGATGATGAGGAGGAGCGTGTTCCTCCTGTTGATGATAAACACCTTCTGAAAAAAGACTTTCGAAAAGACACGGTCAGTAAGACCAACAGCTTCATCTCTATATCCAAGATGGAGGTTAAAACCTATTCCAAAAGCAACTCAGTCACACCAAAGAAAGCTGTCAGGCGAATCATCTCTGACAGTAACAGTTCAGACGAGGATGACAGGACGTTGTGTTTCACACCAGCGCCTACGCCACGGCAACAAGCCCAGCAAACAAATACCAAGACTAGAGACTCTGGCAGCATGAGCTCTAAACAACAAAAAGACAAAAATAAAGTCAAGAAGAAGAGAAAGAAAGAGAGTAAAAATAACGTCAGTAAAGAAGTCCGGTTTGGGAAAGTCAGTGACAAATTCTGTACGTCTGACTCTGATTGTGGAGATCTGGAGAGCGAGGATGATAAGGGCTCAAATAGTATAAAGGACTCTTCTACAATTAACCTTAAAGACACAACTGTCTTTAACGCGTCTTCTTCCTCACACGGAAACATGAACTCTCAGAAACAAGCGCCATCGTTAGCAGAACAGCATCCAAAGCAGTGGAGGACAGATGGCTGGAAGACTGTGTCGTCTCCTACGTGGTCAGATGTCAGCTCTCTATCAGATTCAGTCAGAACGAGACTGTCCAGTGAATCTGAGTACTCCTCTGCTGATTCAAGTGTTGAGTCGATAAAGCAAGTTAAAAGGAAAGCACACGAGAAACAAAAGAAGAATAACGTGCATACGGTAGACAAGAAAAATTCTGATCTCTATAAAAACTCCACAGCAGAAACCACCATCTCCAAAACGGATGTAGATGGTAAAATCATCAAGAAGCATAAAGCAAAACACAAGCACAAAAGTAAGGAGAAGGACAACGCTCCTAGTCTGGTGCTTAATCAAGATATGAATGAGAAATTTGTAAAGAGCTTTTCTTTTGACTTTGATGATTCAAGACAAAAGTCCTTAATTGTTGAGTCTGAATCTCCATCAGAGAGTAAGGTCAAATTATCCAAACATGAAAAAGACCACTCGAAAAAGGAGGACAGGCTTTCAAAAGCTAAGTCTGAGGACAAGGATTGGTCATCTGGAAAAGACCTGCACAGAACGGCTAAAGAGGAGAAAAACAAGAAGACAAAAGACGCCACTAAGGACAAGACAAATAAAGAGGAGAGGGACAAACCTGTCAAACCAGACAAGGAGAAAATTTTTAAAGTCAAAGAAAAACCCAAGGAGGATAAACAAAAGGCTCACAAAGAAGAGAAAAAGAAAAAGTCCAAGGAGAAGTTGTCCTCAAAAATAGACCGAAAGGGTGAGCAGAAGGAAGAGAAGCATCTTAAGGTGGACAAGGAGAAAATCATCAAGGAGGACAAGGAGAAATGCAAAAAAGACAGAATGCAGAAGGAAGAGTCTGAGCATGAAGGCTATGATGTTAACAATCGGTTCCTCAACCTGGAAGACACCAAGCTAAGTGTGTCAGATGATCATCATGACAGATGGGGTTCTGAGATGTCCTCTGACTCTTCAAGCTACGGAGACGATAACTGGGATGCTCCTGTCAAAGAAGTCAAAGAATATAAATCCAACAACACAGTCAAACTAATTGTTGAGACTGTTAAAGAAGAGACGAGGAGGAAAGACAACAAAGTCAAGGACAAGAAGCCAGAGCATAGTGACAAAAAATCTGAGAAAGAAGTCAGCTCCAAGAAGAAAGAAAAAGACCTCTCAGAAAAGATGAGTGAGAAGAAAAAAGACTGGTCTGAGAAAACAAAAATCAACTCCAGCCACTCACTTGAGAAAGACAAAAAGCGGAAGGAATCCACAGACATAGTCAAGGACAAAAAAGACAAGGATTCCCTGGACAGTGGTCGAGACAGAAAGGAGTCTTATGACGGTGTGAAGGACCGAAAAGATGTCAAGATCAAGCAGGAGTCAATAGATGAATATGGCAGTGACACCTTCTTCAAAGACATTGATGCTGTTGGGAAGTCTTGTGATATGAGAGAGAGAAATCACTCTGGGAAAGAAAAAAAGAGTGAAGGAATGGAAAAGAGAGAAAAGACAAAAGCTGACAAGTATAAAGAAAAGACAAAAGACAGAGGCACTGACCACGAGAAGGACAGGAGTGAGCGAAGCTCCATCGAGAAATCCGTCAAGGACAGAGATGAAGATCGGGGCACCAAAGACAAGAAGGAAGGATCCAAAGAGAAACACAAAGACTCTCATGGAAAAGACAAAGATCGAAAGATGTCTTCTGAACAAACAAAGGACAAAAAAGACAAGGGCTCCCAAGACAAGCATGCTGATAGGGAGAAGGATTTCTTGGAAATAAAGAAAGAGGAGAAGAAACCAGAAAAAGGCCGAGAGAAAACGTGGTACAAGATAGCTGATATTTTCACAGATGAGAGTGATGAGGAGGAGGACGTCTACAGTAGTGGTGTCTTAGCTGGGCCGGGTTCCATCAGAAAAGACTCGACACCTGATCAGGATGAGCTGGATCACTTCCCCTCAGAAAAAGTGAGAAAATCCTCTGCAGAAACAAGACACAATACAGAAAAGACAAAAGACAAAGAACACAAAGAAAAGAAAAAAGATAAGGCCACATTTGACACAGGAAAAGAGAGGAAAGGCTCCCTGGAGAAACACAACAAAGACAAGAAGGACTCTGCAGACTCAAAATACAAAGAAAGGAGAGATAGATCCTCGGTGGACTCTAACCAAGAAAAGAAAAACAAGCAGAAGTTGTTGGACAAAAGGGACACAAGTGAGGAAAAAACAAAGACCAAACATAAAGACAAGCAGGATCATTCTAAGGAAAGGAAGCCCTCTAAAGGCAGTGGTGAGAATGAAAAATCCCTCTTAGAAAAACTAGAGGAGGAAGCTATGAATGATTACAAGGATGACTCAAATGACAAAAACAGTGACATCTCCTTGGATAGTTTCACCGATAGAGGTCATGAGCCTGTCCTTACTAGTTATTCTTTCAGCCTAACCGATATTTCTGAGGACAGGAGAGACTCCCTGTCCATAGCTATGCCACAGGATAGGTTCAAAGAGAAGGAGAGGCATCGACATTCCTCCTCCTCATCGTCTAAGAAAAGCCATGACAAGGAGAAAGAAAAAGTCAAGAAGGACAAAGGAGACAAACGTGACAAAGCAGGGGAGAACCGAGAGTCCTACAACCGCAGAGAGAGTCTTCCGTTTGAGAAAGAGCCGATGCCTCTAGAGGCAGACCCTTACACATTCCCGTTTGGAGGGAAGGGAGATGGGGAAGATGACTTTGATAAAACATTGGAATTTGAAAAAGAGATGTCCAAAAAGGACAAAGCAACTGGCATCATTAGTGATAGAACGAAGGACAAAAAGAAAAAAGAGAAGCATAAAGACAAAATAAAGGAGGAGAAAAACAAGTACATGGATGGCTTTGGGTCATTCAAACACTCCAGAGAGGATGTAAAGTCGGCATTGAAAGACAGCCCCCAGATCACTGTTCTGAAGGAGAGATCGAAAGAGCAAAGCCCCAAGTTTGATTTGAAAAAAGACCGAAATCGAGACACTTTGGAGAAAGACAACAGAATGGATCATGGTAAATCTAAAAATGAAAATGAAAAGCTCACTCAGTCCAAAGAGACATTACGAAAAGATAACCGTCCACGTGAAAAGGTGTTGGTGGACGATGATTTTCAGATGACTAGTTTTGGTCAGATGTTAAGTCTAAAAGATCAGGAAACTGGGGCTCGTCTCAAGAAGCAAAAAGAAAAAATGAAGCAGATGGAGAGACTGAGACCCAAAACAGGGGATCCTAAGTTGAAAGACAAAGCTAAGCCTACAGAGGAAGTCAAGAAAAACCGCAGCGAGCTGTCTTCGAAGAAACCCAACAGTTTGGAGACTGGTCTGAAGGAAAAAAAGCTAAAGGATGTTGGCCTCCCTGCTCAAATGATGTCTCCAGGGAGGAAGTTCCAGCCTGGTGACAGTCAGAACTCAAAGGACTGGATGACTAGCCATCAAATGAAAGAGAATCTCCCTGCTTCTCCCAGACCAGACCAAAACAGGCCAACTGGTGTCCCCACTCCAACGTCTGTCATCTCCTGTCCCAGCTTTGAGGATGTAATGCAGACTCCACGTACCCCATCCTGTAGCCCGGAGGATTACACTGACATTATGCTAGATGGGCTGGACTGCCAGAACTCATCTGCCATGAATATGTCAATGAATGCCTGCTCCCCCACCTTCTTTGATAGGTAAGTTGTTAAAACTTCTAGTCTCACTGTCGCGGTCTGTTTGAGTTTAGTGTATGTTGTATTCAGTGTGACTGTTGTCCTGATTTGTTTTATTTGTCGTCTTCGCAGCAGGTACTCCAATTCCCACAGTTTCCAAGAGGGCACCTGTCCTACCCCTGCGAAAAACCTCCAGCTACCACTTGTAAGCCGTTCTGCATCACCTGATGTCCGCAGGCCGTTGGAGAATGACTTCAAGTCTGAGTCTGACAAGTATAGGAAGCAGAGTGATTCAGCAACTGATTACGACCTATCATCCTCACAGCTCCTGGAGGACAAGTCCATAACGATGAAAAGGTTGTCACCACCTGATTTCTCTCCACTAAGAATATTGTCTCCTCGTAGAGAGTCCCACCATCCAACATCAGATGTTGTGGCAACTCTTGCTGGTACTGAAGGGCACGAACACCTTCCTGAGAGCGTATACAGCAGTTTCTTGCCCAAACCTTCAACACCAGTACATAGGCCAGATCCCCAGGAACCGTGCTTTGACATAGCTGCACCACCAACTCCAGCTCCTGCTGCTTTACCACCACTGGACATTGATGACATCTCAGAGCCTCACCACAGTGAGCCAAATCTGGTTCTCTCAAATTTGCCGTGTGTCACGGAAGAACAGGAACAAGAAGAAGAGGATGAAGAAGAAGAGGAGGAGGAAGAACCTGATATGGATGAGCGGGCTGATAGAGATCACTGTGAAGTGGAAGAGCCAGAACAAACAAGAGATCCATGTTCTTTCTCTAATCAAGTTGAGGACCATTTGAGAAAAAGCTGGCCTACAGTGTCTCCAGACAGACAGGAACAGGAAGTCCACCAGCTTTCCTCAACACATCCAGCACACAACCACGGAGACAACTGTTTTGATGATAGCATGGGTTGGAACCAAGATATGGACCTTAAAGCTGCCCATGGGGAGATTGAGGCTGCTGTCTCCAAAATAACGAGTCCTTACTCTCACTCTGATAATGACATGCAGCCCCTGCCTGGACATCCCAACATCTCTTATGACACCTGGAATAGGTGGCATAAAGAGGACACGGAGGACTCGGATGAGCAGAAGGAGGCTGTGGCAGACATTCCTTCTCCTGAGAGGCCCGAGTCTGCCATGGATGAGGAACCAGACTATTTAAATACCTCATCGTCCTCTAACAGGTTGGACTCCTTTTTCCATGACTGCAATAAGCCTGTCTTAGAGGAAGGACACCAGATGGATACAGGCTGTGTAGAATCTGAAAGCAGACTAAGTGCACACAGCTTCAGCACGACTCCCGATTGTCACATTTCCCCAGTTGTGGTCTCTGATCCTGTTGTGCCATGGGCAGATCCATTCTCAGGCGAACCAGATGAACTGGATGATCTAGGGCCATTTTCATTGCCTGACCTACCGTTACCAGACAAGTCCGAAGAAGCCGACCCTCGAAACCCTGAGCTAGTTGAACACAGCAAGACTCTGCCAACCCACATTAGACACATCATCACAGACAGAGGTGAGCCAGACATAATAGAGGTAGACCTAACTAGCCTTGCAAAGACCTCATGTCCCTCTGGAAATCTGAGTTTAGGGGAACCTACTGGACAAGACTTTGTTGTACCATCACCTCATACCACCTTTCAGCAGGAGTTGGACCCAGAGCCTCAAAGTGATCCCATCAACAGCTCTTTGCCTCTTAACCAACAACATGGCAACATTTTAGATAGATCACTGGGTTATGGAGTGCACGAGTCTGATCCTACCTTGCTGTATTCACCAGTAAAACCAGATGCCTGTCAACAACTTCACATATCACAGATCCATCCCTTCACTGAGTCCATACAGGTGTCCCTGGATTCGGTGTCTCCTTCAAAACCAGAACTGAGGCATGCAGAAATGTCTGAGACAGTACCAGAATCTGTGTCATGCAGTCCTCTTCCTCATATCTCAGTGGCAGTCGCTCTCTCCGACCCCGTGGAGTTGCCAGACACTCAGGAACCCCCATCAAAGCTAACACCAGTTACCCCAACAATCGTGCCCACCACTGCAGATGTCCCCAAGAAGGTGGAGGAAATTCCTCAAAGGATAACCCGCAATCGCACCAAGAACAATCCCTCTGCTGCTGTTCTTTCTACCTCCAGCATCATAACCTCATCCACCACTGTGACAACCAGTCAAGTGGTGAGCATTAACACGGCTCCCACAAGAACCCCGACACTCACGCCAGTGTCTTCCTTTCCATCTCTGAAGAAAGATTCCAGTATTTCCACTGCGGCATCTAATTTAACCCCAGCAGTGTCTGTACCGTCTTCTGTGACAACTTCTGCATCAGTGGTTCTCAGTAAGACGACCAAGGGTCGTCCCCTCCCTGTGGATGAAGACGACGCCCAGACGCAGCACCCACGGAAGAGGAAATTTCCTCGTTCAGCTGGGCAGCAAGTCCAGGTCCAGCTTGTAAACACGGCCATGCAGCAGACCAGGGAAATGATTCAGCAGACGTTAGCTGTTGTTGTCAATGCCATCAAGCTGGATGAGATTGAGCCCTACCACAGTGACCGGTCCAACCCCTATTTTGAGTACCTACAGATCAGGAAGAAGATTGAGGAGAAGCGGAAGATTCTGTGCTACATTACCCCTCAGGCCCCGCAGTGTTACGCTGAGTATGTGACCTACACCGGCTCTTACCTGCTGGATGGCAAGCCTCTTAGCAAGCTGCATATTCCTGTGGTGAGTTATTCAAACTTGACCTAATCTAGTTTTGATGAAGGCAAAGTCGTGAGCAGAGTTGAAACGGTTACGATGCTTTCACCTAGGTGCTGTGAGTCTTGTGCAAGAAAGTGTAAAAGTTGAGAATTTAGCTTCCACAAAGTCAGAATTTCTTGTAATCTTCTAAAGTGGTCTTTATGCTAAAGGCTTTTCTGCCACATGTTATACCTTTTTTACTTTTGTTTCACAGTTTTTACTCGTTTTCTGTCTAGTGCTTGTACCTGACAACGTACCTTCAAAATGAGAAGCAAACAAAAGGAGGACAAAAGTTGTACCAGACCTGAAAATGACACATTTGCAGCAGGTTACTGGTGACAGATTGTCAAAATATTTTATGTAAATTACTTTTTTTGCAAATTTGTTAGGTTATAAAAAAATGAGATTGGGAGTCTTTTAATACCAGAGTTATAAGTTTTCACATCTGGGTCGGTCCAGCCCAGCCCTGGTGGGTTAATTGTGTTCACATCTGGGTGATCTGCGTTTTCCGCGTTCAGCCGACCATTTTTTAATTTATTTTTTACCTGCTATCCGGCGATCAGCTTCACGCGGAGCTGACCCAACACACTCACTACGGACCGATTGGCCGGCTAAAGTTCACGCCCACCTACTAGAGTGAGTCTCTTGATTGGTGGGTAGAATCAGCCAGCGGCTGCTTCCTGCTTGTGTGATTCATTATCGGTCTGGATGCAGTGGGGTAAACATCCTCCCTGACTGCCGCTCAGAACCAGCGCTCCCGCCACGGCAGCACGAGGGCAGACAGCTGTGAGGAGCACAGCTGTCTCAGTGAGAGGGTAGCAAGCCGTGTGTTTCATAACAGCGTCCAAAAGCAACACTGTTCGCGGCTGCCTTAGTTTATAAAGTGTAGTTTTTTTTTTACTGTTAACCTCTGTAAGTACTGGGGGGGGGGCTGGTGCCTATCTCCAGCAGTCAATGGGCAATCAGGCGGGGTACACCCTGGACAGAGCCAGTCCATCGCAGGGCAACACAGAGACACACAGGACAAACAATCATGCACACACTCACCTAAGGACAATTTAGACAGACCAATTAACCTAACAGTCATGTTTTTGGACTGTGGGAGGAAGCCGGAGAACCCGGAGAGAACCCACGCATGCACAGGGAGAACATGCAAACTCCATGCAGAAAGGTCCCAGGCCAGGAAGCGAACCCAGGACCTTCTTGCTGCAAGGCAACAGCTCTAACCACTGCACAGCCCAGGTTTTGTAACTCATAACCATAAAAATCAGGTCTAAAATACAAGGGAGCGGGTCTAATGGGCCATTCCCATCTGTACCGGGTCGGCCCGGGCCGGGTAGCGTAGGTTGTTTACATATCTGGGTGGCCTGGTATTTTTCCGGGCCAACCAAGGCTCATTCTCAGCCCTCTTCTCGAGGGGGTCTGCTTCAGGCCGACCAGGACCAACACACCCACTGCTGACAGCAAAATCACACCTTCCATTAGAGCAAGCCTCTGATTGGTGGGTAGAATCAGCCCACATGGGCTTAAGGCAAGGATGTGTGGAATCAACCGGGCCAGGCTGGGGCCGACTGGGGCTACCCGGCCCGGGCCGACCCGGTACAGATGGGAATGGCCCATTAGACTCTATTAGACGCCATGTTTCCTTCTACAGGAGCCTTTGTGTGCTTGTCATTTTGTTGAAGTTTGCACTCCCCGGGTCTTTTTGACCCTAACAAGCATCCGTTGGTAAGGTCTTACTCCAATACAAAAATACAGCTTGCATGATTTAGGTATCTACTGCCCTCTATCGCCAGGAAAAATACACCCTCTCCCTTTAAGGACACCACAGACTTCTCTACACATCGCCTGCATCTTAGTTGAAAATCCCACAAAATTCTCATTCTGTGGATTCTTAATACCAAAGTGTTTATATATTCACAGAATGCGTTTACATTGAAATGATTCATAATGTATTTTAAGCTACGTTGTGTTTTGCTCATCAGATCGCTCCACCTCCGTCACTGTCAGAACCGCTGAAGGAGCTCTTCAGGCAACAGGAGGCAGTGAGAGGCAAGCTCAGGTTGCAGCACAGCATTGAGCGGGTGAGACAACTGTTTTCTGGACATCCATGTTTATTTCACACGCCTCACAATCTCTGAGATCCTTCTTTTTGCTGAATTCACTCGTTGCTGTCACGTGCAAGCAGCGAATCGCATCAATGTTTCTTTGATGAAAGATCAAAGCCTCTTTTTTTTCAATCAGAATTCAAGTGAAATCTGAATAATTCTCATTTCTAGGTCAAGTCAGAGTGCACTGCAAACCTGACCCGGTCTCTAATTAAAGAGCAAGTCACCCCCTACCAGATTCTTACTCAACTCCCACTTTCTGTTTGAAAAATGCAACAAATGCTGTTCCCTAGCAGACCGAGAGGGTGGAGCCACTAACAAATACACACACTCGCGACATTGTGACATCATAATGTACCGTCTAACATCATAGTGTACCTCTTAGCCAATATCGACGGCAGATTTAAATTCAAATGCAGTGCTGAGTTTTTACCTGACGACGGTGCAACGCTGACAGTTTTAGGCAGAATATTTAAATTTTAACTAAGATGCACTAAAGTGCCGAATTATTGACGACACGTGTCTGCAGCACGATCAGACACTCATTTATATAGTTTATCAGCAAAAAAATGTTGATTTGGAGTGACCTGCTCTTTAAGTCACAACCATTTTTTGTAGAGCATGCAGCTGTGTGTGATGTTTGTGTCTTTTTGAGTAGCCACCTATTCTGATATTCTGCTGCATAACTAATCATTTATTTTCTCCCTGTTGGGCTTGTTTTTCACAGGAGAAACTAATTGTTTCATGTGAGCAGGAGGTTTTACGGGTCCACTGCAGGGCAGCTAGAACAATAGCCAATCAGGCTGTACCATTCAGTGCCTGCACCATGCTGTTGGACTCTGAAGTCTACAATATGCCATCAGAGAGTCAGGTAGGAGAGACGTAAACACATTCAAGTCTCGGGTCACTTCTCACCTAATCCACTCTTTAGTCCACATTTTAACTTGTGTTCTTCTCTCAGGGTGATGAAAACAAATCGGTAAGAGATCGCTTCAACGCACGTCAGTTCATTTCATGGATACAAGACGTGGATGATAAATATGACCGCATGAAGGTACATTTTGACAGTATTTAACGAGTAAATATGTACATTAGAAGCATGTGCCATAATGTTTGTGTTTACATAACAAGAGTTGTTCCTTTCCTTCATCAGACATGTTTATTGATGCGACAACAGCATGAGGCTGCAGCCCTCAACGCAGTGCAAAGGATGGAATGGCAGTTAAAGGTCCAGGAGCTGGATCCAGCAGGACACAAGTCCCTGTGCGTCAATGAAGTGCCGTCCTTCTACGTGCCAATGGTCGATGTCAACGACGACTTCGTCCTGCTGCCTGCGTGACACGTCAGTGCTCACAGATTGAGGTTAAACTCCATCTGAGTCACTTCTTCTCTAAGAGACTTCGTTGAACTGAACGAATGGAAAGGGCTAGCAAGTTCAAAAGAAGAGTTGCTGCAGGAAAAAATTCTTAAGAAAAGGAGGAAGGTTTGGAAAAACTTGCTCTTCATTCACTTCCGTGAAGAAGGAAAGGGTTTTTTTTACTGAGGGAAAAGAAATGACACAACTTGCACTTTCATCCTTAAAGTTTTTATGCTTTTGTTTGGTCGGAGTGTGAGAAGCAGAAACAGTTTTTTGCTTTGAAGCGCCGATGTTGAGACACAACTCCTCAGTGCTTCATTATGGTGAGACGGGGGACAGAGGTTTATTTTCTGCTTTCGTTTTCGCCCCCTGCTTCAACAGCCGTTGCCACTGGGAGGATACATCAGAGAGGAGCTCTCCCAGCAGCTTGGTGCCTGTCCAGAGGAAGCCCTCGTTGAGACGCCTCCTTTGTTGGCGTGGAGCTCTCAGTGGGCCAGGAGATGGAGTCCAGCACTGACCCAGAGGATGTCGAAGGAGAATCGTGGATCTTTAGAGGCTCCAGGGAGCTACGGTCAGCCGCTGGTCGTTTTTGAGATACAAAACCATTCACCTGCCGGATTTACCTGCAGGATGCCCTGTTTGTTGGTCTTGCACCGGCCCTCTCTAAGTCGCGCTGTAACAAAGCTTGCAGCGGGCAGGACCGCGGTGAAGAAGACGTGTGCACGTGAGGGCCTAGCGTCTGAGAGGAGGACAGACCCTGCAGCCTCTCAGCCTGGCTGAAAAGAACAGGATGAGCCCAGATCCCTGAGGGCAAACCGAAGTGTTCCTCAGTGACTGCTCGCTCTGATGTAAACGCATCAGCCCGCCATGGACTGCAACGACACAACAGGACAACCCGAACAAACAAACCTAACGAATGTTGATATTCAAAGAGTCTGTTGTGGTTTGGCAGGAAAAGAGAAATATTGTTTTTGTCTATTTCTTTACTTGGGCATTTCATTGTTTCTGAGGAAGTGACTTGAAACACTACAGAGCCAATATTAGTTTAATGGAAAAAAACAAACAAAAAACAATAGAAAAAAAGTTGTATTCCGTAAATTATGTACAGTTTTTATATTCGTTAACCAACGTATTCTTGCTGCCTTCTAGATAATTTATTTTGCCACACATTACTGCACAGTTGTAAATAACCTATGTACTGTAATATCACTCAGTTAAGTGTAAAGAAAAAAAAGTAAAATGAATATCTTTTTATGTACAGTTCACTTTTGGGCAGCACTTTCCCCCTCTCATATCCAATGGGCCAAAACGTGTACATGACTCTGTCAGTATTTGAACGACTCCAGTGCACAGTTGTATAAACCAGTCTGTAGATTCAGTCAGCTCACCTGGACGTGAGCCGCTGCAACGCAAACCGCTGGCAGAAACGATTCTGGATGGAACGGGCCGACCGCGACACAGCCCCTCATGTAGCAGAACGGATGTGGAGGGTTTTATTTAAAGAATAAACAAAAGATTACTATTCATTGCTTTACTACACAATTATATCAGAAAATTTTTGAACCAAGAAAATGCCTTTTTCAGTAAAAAACAAAAAAAAAACACTCATTTTTGGGCAAAGCCACATAGTTATATATGGGTAGGATGGAAGAGTTGTCATTCACACGCAAAACCATTTTTAAGTGTCGTCTTCTTTTCCTCGTTTATATATTTGAAAATCGCTTTCGACGCCACAGAGCGCGTAGACACGTCTTTACGCTCTTCCTGTTCTCTCAGCTCGTCCGATCTTCCCGTTGAATAGACAGGATATCCGTCAGCCCTTTGTTCGTTCATGTTGTTCCCTAGCATCACTAGGTGGTGACAGTGTCCCAGAACACACAACCATTTGGCTTGCCATGGATGTTTTTAAGTATTTTTGAATTTTATCACAACCAGTCGGATGGTTAAGTTTCCTCATCCTAGTTTAGGAAACAGCTCAAGTCACATCATACTTCCTACTTTTATTCACTTATAAACTACCATCAGATAGTTTAGGGGTTTTAAATTTTAGTTTACTTCATATTTTGTTGCGTCAGGCCCAAGAAGACCGTTACGAGACTTAAATCTTTGTTAGCGTAAACCAAAAATGTGAACAAAAACACATACGGTGGAGGGGGAAAGACAGTACATTAGACCTTTTTTTGTTTGTTTATACAAGATTCCGTTCGAAATGTCAATTTATGTCTATACGTATCGATCCCTACGTTTGGTTGTTCTGATGAGCGCTCCCGACCCGGCACGATGGCTGCCCGTCTGCGAGAGAGAGCTGCTCGCGTATCCCAAAGGCAAAATGATCTGAAACACATTTACACTCATTTGGCGTTGCGTGTATGGCGTGTCTAGTCGAGTGCAATGGTTGTTGCTATTACACTGTGCAGACAAGGTGGCTAGATATTATAGTTCTGGATATGTTGGAGAGGGAAACGCATCTGAGCAAACATACAGGAAAAGAAACCTTTACAAGTAGCCAGAAATGTGTTGTTTTCCTTTAGCTCTGTTCGTCTTGTTTCTTGTTTTTGGGAAGAAAGTGTTTGTTCAAAGTCTTCATGTATGTGTGTATTTTCCTTTCATTTTAGCCTTGTGTATGTTGTTCATCTCTCTGTTATTTGGTAGCATGTCAATCACATTGCTTGTCCGGCAGAATGTATACCGCTAACTATGCCCCGCCCGACACCCTCTCACCATTTACAAGACACAGAGCGTTTCATGTGTCACGTCACATCCCCCTTTTACTTTTACCTTCTTATTAAAACCATTCAAGCCCAGTCTAGGTGTAAACTTGTGCGATCAATAATTTCTTTAAACCACAAAGGCTTGAAATGGTGATGGCTGACTCATCAGACAGACCAACCCCCCCTTCCAGAATGCTGCACAGCTACATACTGAATGCGTCCGAACACGCCGTACAAACATCCAGAGAATCCACGACGAAGTCCTCGGATGCACAGTAGAGCACTTGGCCGTGTTGACACGGATGCTAGCCTGACATCACCTCAGTCAGCAACATATTACCTCTACTCTCCTCACATTCACTCATGTTTATTTTATTATTATTTTTTATTTTTATTACTACTTACGGGACATAAATAGACTTGACTGCTATTTTTTCATTGTATAGAATCACAATTTCAAGCCTTTTTTTCATGTTTTCTTTTGTTTTTTTTTAATTAAACCCAACTGTAGCCATTTCTTTTTGCTTTTATTTCTAGAATGAAAACGACTAATAAAAAGCATGGAGAACTACTCTTTAAATGGTAAAAATAACCTATTTATTATCTTCTTTTCCCCCCAACACCTGTGGTTTATATATATATATATATATATATATATATATATATATATATATATATATATATATATAATTTTTTTCCCTGGATTTTTCAGTTGAAGTTTGTTTCCGCTGTGTAAATTTTCCTCCTTGTAATGCGTGAAAGAGACATATTGTACATATCTCTGTAAATAAAACCTCCCAGGACGTTTTGCACCCTCCTCTTTGTACTAGTCTGAAAAATTGCGTAGAATGTGGGGTTCTAACAGCAACGGGCCGTGTTGCGCTCGCTGCAGGTGATTATGATGTAACAATGTAACATTTTTTTTATTTGTACAATGTAGTTTATTTGTGTACATATTGTTGGAGCAGCTAAATGGGGTGGGGGGGGTGGTATTTGATGGGGGTTGTGGATGCTATCGTCAGTGCTGTAACAGTACTTTCGCCTCCAGCTGTTGTTGATTTCCTGCAAAAAATGAAAAAAATTAAGGAAAAAAGCAAAAAATATATATAAAAATGACAAACTGAACATGAGTGTAGGTTGGGGGGGCTAAAACTGAAAAGTAAAAATTCTAAATTGTTATTTTCTACGTTGCATGTACAGAGAGCGCGAGAACTGCTGTTGTTCCTCAGAGATTATGTTCGTTAATAAAACTTTAAAATATTACCCACCCTTCTCTGGTTTTTCTGTGTTGGCTTCCTCTGGCCTTACCTGAAAGCTGTATTTTCAAACACTTTTATTATTAATGGCAGAACTAAAAGGATATTGTTCAAAACATTGTGGGGAGTCGGGTTAAGTGTCTTGCCCAAGGACACAACAGTTGCTACAGACGGGGCTTGAACCTGCAACCCTGTTACTGGGTGGGCTCTTGAGTCCTCTGCTACCCGAGTCACCTCACTTGGCTGAAATCAGATGTTTATTTTGAACTTTATTCAATATTATGTTCAATAATGTTTTAGTTGCTACAAATGTTCTGAAGGGGAAACAAAACTAACATTTATTCATCTCACTGCTGCTGTGTCACCAGGTTTAACTCGTTCTAAGTCACGAGCCTTAGGGTTTCCCAGAAAGATCACCTGTTGACTTTCCCTGTGTCATGTTTCAGGGATGGATGAGGCCGAGTCAACTGCTGAGAAAGGTTTATGTGCACCAACCGTCTCCAAATATACAGCACAGATGATCCCAGCACAACGGCAACAAAAAGTCCCCTTGTTGCTAACTAAAATGTGATTTTAGGGCCCTAAATGTTCAGTTTTCAGAGTATTAATGTTGGTAAATAAAGATTTTAATGTTTCAGGTTTAATGCATTTCAAAGACGTATACTTTAATTCTCAGACAGACTTGTGTGTCTTGTGGCCATGTTTTTTTTTTTTTTTTTTTTTTTTTTGGTTTTTTTGTTTTGGGGAAGAGACTGATCACCTGCATCATGGGAAATGAAGTACTCTGCAGAATAGATCTCATGGATCAGTGGGGCCGAAGGAAAAGATGCGATAAGAGGGATCAAACACACTGACCCTGAAATCATCACAGCAGCAGATGTCAGAGGTTGGCGCGTGACCCTCACGCCACGCCCACGTCTCGTGCCTCTACCTGTTGCTTTGTCGCGCGGCGCAGCTGTGGACCAGCGCGAGCTGCTATGGCCACGGGACAGTCAGCCAGCCCCAACGCTCGTCTTCTCATGGACTACGAGACGAAGATTCTCCCTCACGCCGGCGGCTACGGGCGCTACAACAGACTTGCGGTCGTGTTCAGCTGGTTCCCTTCTTTCGCCGTCACGCTGAACCTGTTCAGCGACGTTTTTTACACATTGATCCCGGACACGTACCACTGCAAGCCGGACCCGAGCCTCCTGCCGTCAGCCTTCCTCCCAAGTAACTTGACCAAGCAGGACTACCTGGACCTGACTATTCCCTGGGTGAACGGCTCCGGCCTCAGCCACTGCGAGCTCTTCAAGTATCCGTCCAACACGTCGGACCTGTCCGGGGGAGCTCCGCGGGAGAGGGTGTCCTGCACCAGGGGCTGGGAGTACTCCGCGGTGGCGGGGCTCCATAGCAACTTTGTCACCGAGGTAAGAAGGGTCGACCGATGTGGATTCTCAGTGGCCGATTTCGGTTTAGAAAAACAAGGACAACCGATTAATGTGTTTTGTCCATGTTATTTTTTATAGTTAGTTGTCTTTGCTTAAGCCATTACATCACTGGTTAGTGACACAGTTGAGAGGAAATGCACACATTTTCAGTTAGAATCCTACTGGTTTGGTACACAGGATTAGGACTTGTAACAAGTTTAATGTAAGGCAGGTCATGTGTGTACAATTCAACTGCAAACTGATGTTTTGAAAGAAAAATTACCTTAACTAACATTTTAGGATGTTTGGAAACCAAACACTGTTTTTTTTAAAGTAGCAGGAACAAAGTAGTCCACTAAATATTGGTGGGGATGTGTCCCTAGTGTCCTCGGCTGAAACGATCTCAGTAATTGGCCAAATATACAGAGGGGTTAGCTGCTAACAGATTTTTTCCCCCAAAAAAGTTTGCATATTTACAAACCCTCCTCAGAAACATCAATGAAAAGGCATGGTTAGCTGTTATGATGGCTTAAGCATTAATAACATTTATGTGCAAAAGATGAAAATCAAAAGTTTTAATAATTCTCAGTTATCAATCTCTTTTATTGTGAAGCATTGGTCTTTTACTAACTCAGGTGATTTTAGATAAACATAAAAAGTAGCGGTGCACCGATCTATTGGCCCTGATCTTGTTTTTGTTTTTTTGTTTTTTTCCAAGATCAGTGATCGGCCAAAACCTGCAATCGGTGCACTCCTAGTTAATGTTAAAGCAAATCATTGCTATAGAATATTTTTTTGGACAAGTGTGTTAAAACAGGTACAAAAAGTTTGTTTTCAAAATTAGTAAAATGAAAGTCTAAAGGAACAAATATGATTTTATGCAATGCTAGATATGTTCATTTATATTTGAGAACATTACCTCATGTCAAGTTAAAAATGGTATTGTTTTATGAGTATTCATATTGGTTTTCACAATAAAAGGAAATTGAAACATTGACATTTAGTTGAGACAAAATCGGTATCGACAAGTCAGCTTTTTTTTTCAAGATTGTGATCGGCCAAAAACTGCAATTGGTGCACCCCTAATAAAAAATGATTTAGCCTCTCATATTTAGGATAATTTGAATGTTTATCACCATGTGCCAGTTGACCTTACATGTGTGGGGAGCTTTTCAGTCAATGTTGGCTAATGCTGAAATGAGCCTTTCTAACTTTGTTACCCAGACTCTTTTTCCCTGTCCGTTATCGGCCTCCCAGGGTCATCGTTAGCGGCCCTGTCTGCTTTAAAGTCCAGCTCTGAGTGGGAAAAGAAAACAGGATCATGGGGTTTGCATTAAAACACGAGCTCTGTTGCACAGGGGGCAGCAGTAGTTGGTTGAGCGGGTTGTCCAGTAATCGGAAGGTTGCAGGTTCGATCCCGGCTCCAATTCTGCTGTTGTGTCCTTGGGCAAGACACTTTACCCTCCTTGCCTGCTGGTGATAGTCGGAGGGGCCGGTGGCGCCTGTGCTCGGCAGCCTCGCCTCTGTCAGTGCGCCCCAGGGCAGCTGTGGCTACATCGTAGCTCATCACCATCAGTGTGTGTGAATGGATGAATGATACACTGTAGTGTAAAGCGCTTTGGAGTCCTTACTCTGAGAGGCGCTATACAAGTGCAGGTCATTAATCATCATTTATCACACAACGGTCTGCTGCTGCTCTCAGACCTGGTGTTTACTTTCATCGTCTTGTTGTGCAACAAGCATAAACAAACATCTTAATCTTCCTTTTCGGCTGCTTGTTCCATCCCAGTCTGCAAATATTGACAACAGACCCTGACAAAACATTTGTGTCTTTTGTAAACGTATTACTTAGCAGCAAAGATCCAGACGCGTTGAAACATGAGTTGTGTTTACATCTGCAGTGGAAAGCTGCAGGGCACAGATTCCCAGATTATTGCCCCTTCCTCTCCTTGATAAATTGTGATGCATGGGAAGTTTGAAGCCTCTGTGTTCCTTCCGGAGATCCTGAACACTTCCTCCTCAGCAGCGGCTTCCTCTGTCCATGATGTCACTTGCAGGGTCAAAGGAAATTTTGAGCAACAGGAAGCCTTCTCTCAGGACAATGCTGTTGGAACAGGGATCAGGCAAAGGGAATGGTGAAGCTTGTGACTTTCTTACTTTGCATTAGACATGTTGTTCTTTTTTATCTTCCTTTTTTTCTGCACCTGAAGCAGAGCCGGTTCACCGCAAATACATTTCACTAAAATCCATTTGTTGGTTCGTGAGTTGGTCAAAAATACAACCGCACACAAACAATTAGCTAAATCCTTAAATGCTGAAGTAATGATTTTTGTACATATTTCTGCATGTTTTTATAGTCATCCATGTTTGGAATTCCTCTGCTGTCTAAATTTGTTTTAGGGTCTGGGAAACGGCAGAGAACATCTCAGCTAGTGGGAGCTAACCGTTAGCGTTAGCAACTCCACCTGGCAGAACTCCTCCAGGCTTGTGTTAATTGTGGAGATAGAACGTCAACGCTGCAGAGCAAAAGGAGTCAGTGGTATAGTCATGTTGCTGTTATCCAATTAGAGGAGACATGTCCAAATATCAGGAAATAAGAGTCCAAATCCTGTCGTCTGAAACTGAGCTCTGGTGTGGCTTAATTCTAGTTCCTGAAAAAGGTGCACCAGAGCTCTTTTTCCCAGAGGCATTCATTCCTAATTAGGGATGCACCGATACAGATATCGGGCCGAAATTAACAAATACCATGAGCTGATACCAATGCAATTGCATGAAGTGGCTTCACTGTAACGTGTCATTTCTCTTCACCTAATATTTTGGTTTTGTGATAATTTACATTAATATATTTTATTTTTTTATCTACCTCAGTCTTTTCCTGTTGAAAGCAGAGAAGAAAATAAATTGTGTGGTAGAAGGATTGGTAATCGGTATCGGTGAGTACTCAGATCCAAGGATCGGTATCGTATCAGTTTGGAAAAAAGTAGCATCTGTGTATCCCTATTCCTAATAGAGAGCGCTGCAAATGTATTGATTAAACGAGTGAACCAAATCCTTAAGCTTTCACAATGTCGCTGTTTCTGTAAACCTATAAAGCTTTTATACGGTTAAATTATTTTCAACCATTAAGATTTTAGTTTTTCTCCATTAACACGATTTAACTGTAGTTCAGTACTTGTCCGTGCAACAAACCAGCAGACGGAGGAGGACGGGATAGAAGTTTCCACCGAGCAGCTCTTTCTCCTCTAACATAATAACTGCTGTCAGCAGGCTTCTTAATTTGATGAGGAGCAACATGGTCTGCATTCCTGTCCGTTCACAAAGATCTCTATCTGTGCAGGGCTGCTGGTTTCTGCATGTTATGTCATCTCTTTCCATAGAGTGCAGCATGTCAGGGATGAGTTGTTCATGCCGCGTCTTTCAGGGTTTTAAAGTCTGCCATCCGCTTTTCTTGGGTGTGGGGGTTTAGTCTTCTTCATTTGAACTTTTTGTTTTGTGTTTAGTGTTTTGTTGTTGCTACTGCTGCACATTTGGATCAAGCTCTAATTTTATTTAGACATTCTCCCAAACAAAGCATCCAGTGGTTAGAATTGGCCTGTATGATTCAGTGATCAGCCAATCAGAGGCTCAGATTGTTTTATTTTTTTCTTCTGTTTGTTTTTGTTGTAGTTCAAGAACGCATCAGTGCCAACCAGTATTAAAACAAATCCGATTTTCTTTCCCCAGTCTCTGAACTCACCGTTGCGGAGTGTTATTTTCAGTAGCAACAACAGATTTTCCTTGTGGTTGTATTCCCCCCCCCCCCCCCCCCCCCCAATAATAATTTACAAGTAAATCCGAATTGGGGCTGGGCAATAAGTCGAAAATGTGTCGCTATCGAAATTTCTGACTCTTATCGAGATAAATTTTCCCATGTCAATATATCTTATAATAAAAAATAAAAAGATGTGTGTAGGTTGGCAGCGTTTATGTCCCTTTAAGAAGCCGCACCACCTTGAGTCACATAAAAAATGTGACTCAACGTAGTGCACCTGACAGCCCCATCTAGTGGACAACTTTTGTTTCTGCGCTTACCTGTAGTTATCGTCCATTCATCGTTATCGAGGTGAAATCCTCAATATATCTTGATGTTGATTTTAGGCCATATATCACCCAGCCGTAATCTGAATAAAACCGTTTTAAGGTATTCAGTTGTTTAATCAACAAAGGTTAACAAAGTCAGCATTGACTGGTCAAATCTATCCAGGTATCAGAAATTGGTACTGGCCATGAAATCCAGAGACCAATGTTTGTGCATCTTTAGTTTGATACCCAGTATTTTAGGGTTTAGTTTGTTTTAATATGGCTTTTTGCAATTTCAAAGTGCCAAAGTTTATAAATCACCCAGTGGCACAGGCCCAAAATACATGTGATCTCCTTCCAGTATCTATGCCCAGCAGGGCTCTGAGATCCTTAGGGAACGGTCAGCTGGTAGAACCTCGGGTCAGAACCAAACGGGGTTAAGCTGCTTTTAGCTACTATGCTGCACACAGATGGAATCAACTTCCTCATGACCTCTAACGTGCCCCAAATCTAGTTACCTTTAAATCGGAGTAGAAAACGTTCATGTAGCTTTAAAACGAGCCTTTAAACAAGTTTCTTGTACTGCACCTTCTGCATGGTAACTTCTCACCCTTTTTTGTTCTTAAATCTGAAATTAATTTCTGTGTTTTTTTAATTGTGCTGTCACATTGATTGTAATGTTCTTGCTATTCTTGCTTAAGGAAAGCATATTGAATCGCTCCTGTGTATGAAATGGGTTTTATAAATAAAGCTGCTTTGCCTTATTACACTTGATATGTGGCCAAAATGTATTTATCAATGAGACTAATTACCCTAATTTACTATATTTTCAGAAAACAAAATTCCAAATATGAGTCAGTTCTCCTTTTAAAAGGTGTAGTGAAGACCAAGAGCAATAAAAATCAAAGTATTTTTTATTTTAATTTTACATTTTTAAAATG